ATGACAACGATTAAGATTTGGTTTCAATGATATACATGTATAGCAAATTCACAGTAAGATAGTTATTGCTTGTTTAAAATAGTTTTCTGTGAATACAACAAATACCAGGGTATAACAACTGTCAGTTACCAAAATAAGATTAACATTCAAGCCAAACAGACCATTTTGTTCTAGCCTTGTGACTTTGTCCTATATTCTGAATACATTCATTTAGCAAAAAACTCTCAGAACTGAAGTTGGAAAAGCAAATATACATCATGGTAATTGGCTAATCATACGTCATCTCTTTTAATAACAACTCTCGATATATCTCTATTGATTTTAAAATTCATCGACAAAATGAAACTTAAGTAACAATTGACTCCAAGATATGTAATGATGTGGGAAGACACGAATGTTTCCCATACATACATAGTGTACAATCTGTTTTATGTACAGAGTATGTAGTTTTCAGAGTAATAATAATTCCAATATAAAACAAAATATTTACATTATCACAAATCATCAAGTCAAATAATTTCAAAATGAAAGCCATTTTAGTATGCATATTCCTTCACAATCTGAAAGACAATTTCAACAAGTGCCCTCCTCAAATACATATATGTATGAAAACTCAGACCATGGTCCTCATGTGTAGAACAAAGGAGACCCTGGTTAGCATATGTGTGCAACTCTGACCCAGGGCCACACTATCACTATATTCCTATCATAATTTGTATTACAGGCCCAGGTTCACATTACCTTGTACAGTGTACAACAGAACTCGAGACCTGGGCTCTGTTTGTTATGCAGTATAACTGATTCGGCTGTTTTTAAATGTAACATTTTCTGGTATAAAACCTGCAAATGTTAAGCATACCTAGCAAGGCTTTGTGAAGGCTTGCCCGAAAGCAGCATCAAACTACAAGCCTAGTCTAGGTCCAACCTTATTTCGTAAACAAACAACTCTTGTTTGACCCGTTCAACTGTTTGGATTGCAATAAATGAAAATTCCCCTGGTCAACACATTTAGTACTTTATAATACTCACCAAGAATCTAGCTCTGACCTGTACAAATGATGATCAACTGATGCCAAATTGATTGCATACAGTAATAATCTCATTGTTATTGTATCGCTATTTACAAACATCATACAAACCATAGCACAGCATTTGATAATATAATCATGATTGATATAAAAATTGATTGGAAAACATCAAAACAAAATATACAGACCATTTCAATAAGTAGCCATTACCACACAACCCTTGACCATATTACACAAAGGGATTGAATATCATGGTAAGACTCTCCATATCACATTTATACTCGTAACACATATGTTCTGTCCAAAAAATTCCTAATGTCCTATATTGAAGTATGAGAACTATTTTCATTAAAGCTTATATGGCATTAAAAATTAATTAGTTCTCTACAGGAAAGCATGCTTATAACAAACTCCAGGGGACGTAAGTAATTAGTTATCTACAGTAACACATGCTTATAACAAACCCCAGGGACCTAAGTAATTAGTTCTCTACAGGAAAGCATGCTTATAACAAACCCCAGGGACCTAAGTAATTAGTCTACAGTAAAACATGTTTATAACAAAACCCAAAAGACATTAATACATTTAATTCATTCCTGGTACATATTGCACTCCTTTCCCTGTTGTCTAGTATACTGGACAAGGTTTTGAGTACTCCCTTCACTGTTGTCTAGTAAACAGGACAAGGTTTTGGGTACTCCCTTCACTGTTGTCTAGTATGCTGGACAAGGTTTTGGGTACTCCCTTCACTGTTGTCTAGTATGCTGGACAAGGTTTTGGGTACTCCCTTCACTGTTGTCTAGTATGCTGGACAAGGTTTTGGGTACTCCCTTCACTGTTGTCTAGTATGCTGGACAAGGTTTTGGGTACTCCCTTCACTGTTGTCTAGTATGCTGGACAAGGTTTTGGGTACTCCCTTCACTGTTGTCTAGTATGCTGGACAAGGTTTTGGGTACTCCCTTCACTGTTGTCTAGTATGCTGGACAAGGTTTTGGGGTGACTAGTATACTGGACAAGGTTTTGGGTACTCCTTTCACTGTTGTCTCGTATACTGGACAAAGTTTTGGGTACTCCCTTCACTGTTGTCTAGTATGCTGGACAAGGTTTTGGGTACTCCCTTCCTTGTTGTCTAGTATACTGGACAAGATTAGGGGTACTCCCTTCCCTGTTGTCTAGTATACTGGACAAGGTTTTGGGTACTCCCTTCACTGTTGTCTAGTATGCTGGACAAGGTTTTGGGTACTCCCTTCACTGTTGTCTAGTATACTGGACAAGCTTTTGGGTACTCCTTTCACTGGTCTAGTATGCTGGACAAGGTTTTGGGTACTCCCTTCACTGTGACTAGTATACTGGACAAGGTTTTGAGTACTCCTTTCACTGTTGTCTAGTATGCTGGACAAGTTTTTGGGTACTCCTTTCACTGTTGTCTAGTATACTGGACAAGGTTTTGGGTACTCCTTTCACTGTTGTCTCGTATACTTGACAAGGTTTTGGGTACTCCCTTCACTGTTGTCTAGTATACTGGACAAGGTTTTGGGTACTCCCTTCACTGTTGTCTAGTATGCCAGACAAGGTTTTGGGTACTCCTTTCACTGTTGTCTCGTATACTGGACAAGGTTTTGGGTACTCCCTTCACTGTTGTCTAGTGTACTGGACAAGGTTTTGGGTACTCCTTTCACTGTTGTATAGTATGCCAGACAAGGTTTTGGGTACTCCCATCACTGTTGTCTAGTATGCTGGACAAGGTTTTGGGTATTCCCTTCACTGTTGTCTAGTATACTAAACAAGGTTTTGGGTAATCCCTTCACTGTTGTCTAGTATGCTGGACAAGGGTTTGGGTACTCCCTTCACTGTTGTCTAGTATACTGGACAAGTTTTTGGGTACTCCTTTCACTGTTGTATAGTATGCCAGACAAGGTTTTGGGTACTCCCATCACTGTTGTCTAGTATGCTGGACAAGGTTTTGGGTTCTCCCATCACTGTTGTCTCGTATGCTGGACAAGGTTTTGGGTACTCCCTTCACTGTTATCTAGTATGCCAGACAAGGTTTTGGGTACTCCTTTCACTGTTGTCTAGTATACTGGACAAGGTTTTGGGTACTCCCTTCACTGTTGTCTAGTATACTGGACAAGTTTTTGGGTACTCCTTTCACTGTTGTCTCGTATACTGGACAAGGTTTTGGGTACTCCCTTCACTGTTGTATAGTATGCTGGACATTGTTTTGGGTACTCCCTTCACTGTTGTCTAGTATTCTGGGCAAGGTTTTGGGTACTCCTTTCACTGTTGTCTAGTATGCTGGACAAGGTTTTTGGTACTCCCTTCACTGTTGTCTAGTATGCTGGACATTGTTTTGGGTACTCCCTTCACTGTTGTCTAGTATACTAAACAAGGTTTTGGGTACTCCCTTCACTGTTGTCTAGTGTACTGGACAAGGTTTTGGGTACTCCTTTCACTGTTGTATAGTATGCCAGACAAGGTTTTGGGTACTCCCTTCACTGTTGTCTAGTATGCCAGACAAGGTTTTGGGTACTCCCTTCACTGTTGTCTAGTATGCTGGACAAGGTTTTGGGTACTCCCATCACTGTTGTCTCGTATGCTGGACAAGGTTTTGGGTACTCCCTTCACTGTTGTCTAGTATGCTGGACAAGGTTTTTGGTACTCCCTTCACTGTTGTCTAGTATGCTGGACAAGGTTTTGGGTACTCCCTTCACTGTTGTCTAGTATGCTGGACAAGGTTTTTGGTACTCCCTTCACTGTTGTCTAGTATATATATATATATATATGCTTGGCACGGTTTTGGGTACTCCCTTCCTTGTTGTCTAGTATGCTGGACAAGGTTTTCAGCTGTTTATTATACCAGACAAAGCATGCTTTATATAGCTGATTGTCTATTCTAAATTATCAAAAACGGCCTGGAGAAGTTTGTGTACCTTAAAAGAGTACACTGTTGGATAATCAAACTACTCAGTAGTGAAGTGCACATAAAATCATCCTAACAACAGGAGAATTAATTAATCCATTAATTACACAGTACAATCCTATGATGGTTTCATTGATCAATTTTTTTTATCAATATTATTACGGTGAAGCAATTAAGCTTTAACACATGTTTACAGTTTATAACAACAAATTAACGACTAATGTACAAAATGTAATTAAGTACAGCTAGCATTAATTCTGTAAAGAGGTAAATTATTATCTACAAATATAACATAAATGTCTATATTGGTGATCTGTATATATAAATAACGAGATAATGTCAATCACTTAATTTTTGTGAATATCAAATTTCACAATTGTTCATGAAAATTCAAATTTGTATGATGAACGAGAGGTATATAAACATTTGGCAGATATTCAAATATGTGATCAATTCTATTGATGACGCAAAAATAATATCTTGTGTAAAATATAAGCAGTTTATATTATCTGCATATGCCCTTTGTACTTGGAATTCATAGTGATGTTCAACATTGTGAATTAACACGAGATATGATGATAATGTTGAGTGTATGCCCTACATATTTCTATAAGTTACAATACATGACATTTCAATAACGGTTATTACAACAGATATATATAGTTACATAAATGTCCAGGCCCTGTCTCTAGATACCAGAAACAAGAAGGTTTAAGAATTATATCACTGCAATGTCCAATTAGATTACATTTAACAATAGAGTTTTTGATACATGCATTGTGATTTCCCTCGAGACCATTAACATTGTCCCTAAAGATCACAAATATCATGATATTCAATTTTCATCACGACCTTTTCCCTCAAAATCACAGATACATGTACTGTATCTTCATGTATATTGAGACCACCAATATAATGATATCAGATCTTCATCATCGTGGCTTTGTCCCTTGAGACCACCAATATAATGATATTAGATATTCATCATCGTGGCTTTGTCCCTGTAGACCACTGATATGATATTCGATTTTCATCATCATTGCTATGTCCCTTGAGACCACAGATTTGATGATCAGATTTTCATCATGGCGATGTCCTTGGAAACTACAGTCACAACACCTTCATCCTCTGAGTCTGGCTGAGTAGGGTTAATTCCAAGCACTCTTTGTTTGTGGCGTTCCTCTGCTCTCTTCTTCTTTTCCAATTTCTTCTGTTCTTTCTTTTGTTTATTGGATATGGTTATTATGCTCTGAAATTGATAAATGATGAATTTATAAAGAATAAATTGAATATTTGGATATTTTTGCTAAATTCTTTCTAAGAAATAGTTCAATATAAAAAGTTTATTTATACTTTTAAATATATTTATATTGGCCCCAATATCCATCAAAATTAAAAATCTTTAATAGAACTTTTAAATGACTGTTTCATTAATTTTGAATATTTATTTGTGTTTTCAATTATGGCTGCCATGGTAACCAGTTATTATTTGCATAAATTAAAGATATTTGAATTTTGACAGTTTTTTTCACCTAGTTTTCTCTTAGCTACCATAAAGCGCCTTTTTAAACAACCTTTATATTTATCCTAAAGATGTATTACAAGTGCCTACACATTATCCTTTGATATTAAGTTTGTTCAAGCATGCACTCTATAGTTAAGAGGAGAAAAAATATGCAAAATATGACAATATTCACTGAACATTATTTTTCTTTTCTAATTTACGCAAATTTGAACTTGTTACCATGGCAGCAATAAATAGAAATACAAATAAATAATTTCATGATAGTATTTGGGAAGTATTCAAAATTCAAAATTAAAGATATAAATGTTGGAAAGTTTATCTAAAGGTTTTGAATTTTGATGCATTTGGGGGCCAAAACGCACCCAAACCATACACAGTCCTTTGTTGTATTCAACAACCTTGTAGATTTCAAAGACAAATATCAATCTAAATGCGGGGTCATTTGAAATGTCTATCTAAATAAATAAATTATTTACAAAGAAGAACATTTGCAGACTTACCTTGGCACTGTGAGTCTTGGGCCTTGCTCCACTGGCCGAGCTCAGTGATCCGTAGCCAGAACTGCCCCCGTAACTGTTGTCACGCGAGTGTATGGGTGTGAACATCCCTGTCTCAGACGACACACCACTGTCGGTGGAGGTTACCTCAGAAGGGCCTGAAGATGAATATTCCTGTTCTCCTAGATACCAGAAAATAATTTAAAAAAAAGTATAGATTAAAAAAGGAGTAGGGTTGAATTGATTGACCATATGCTACAGCTTTCTTGTGTGAAATACACTTCAATAATGTGTTTATATTTACTGACAATTATTTTTCAATCTGTATCTCCAGATGGCTATGTAAATTCCTACATAATAACACACACTAAGAAATAACACATACACAGGGATAATCTTTTATATTTCAAGGTGTGTGGTTAAATACATGTTAGGTAATTCTTCACAACATTAAAACATATCTAACACCTCTGTGCAACACAATTCATTAAGCAACCTATATAGATATAAATTTCATTCAGGACTTGCAACAGAACCTGTTTACTTTTATAACAAACTTGTACATATATTTTACTATGAACACACTTAAATTATTGCGACCTAAGTTGAATACTAAACTTTTTGATAATGAGCTGTGTCATTCTATATACAAAAACTCAGACAGATGAAGGTGAATCTATCAAAAACTTGCAAATGTTTGGCACTAACAATACATCAACACTAGACTAGTACTGGACATATGAATGTACTTCAAGATAACCACTGCAGTAGTCAAGACCCAGGCTACATTCACGTATCCCGGTTGAAACGGTATGTGTAGCGCAGAAATTTTCCACGATAAACGAACACACTTGGACCGTTCTATAAGCAGAGCTAAAAATCCACAGTTTCGGAGAAAAAACACCAGTGTTTCAAGAATATTATGACCTTCTTTCATCCGTCCACTGAATTACCTAACGTAACTTAAAAACTACATGTGACTTGACATTGTTTTAGAAAGAAATAACGCAAATTGGCAATAGTCAGCATTTTAGTTTCGGTCAGGCACGTCTGGACCCCTCAATCTAAACGTGCCAAATTTTCCTGAGGTCAGCCTCGGTCCAGATCTGTACCTGTCGTTTTCTTTACAGGTTCAACCGATTCAACCGTTTCAACCGGTAACGCGAATGTACCCCCAGTTGCTCAGCAAAGCAAAGACAAGGGGAGGTAACTCCCATGCAACATTAACTTTAGACAGGGTAGCATACCTTCCATCTCCATCAGTTGTAGAAGTTGACTGATAGCCAAGTCCACATCATACTGGCAATCCATCAACGTCTCCGTCACCCGGCCTTCATCCTTTACAACAACAAAAAGTAAACCCTGAGCAACATCTCTGTCACTTTCTTCATCATTTACTAAAGATGGTAAGCAACAATCTAATAATATTGTTTGCAATTTTCATTGACTATATCAGAGTTATTCTTTTAGATCAGCAGCAAAATTAAAATAACCCTGAACAAAAGCTTAATACTCAGCTTTTATGCTTCACAATAATGACAAAAAGGAATGGAAAAGGTTTCTTGAAAAAAAACACCCAAAGGTTCAGCTTTGTTACTCAAGGCAATGAGCACAATACCGAGAGAAATTAGGAGAATTTTTTTTTATTTTTTTTATTTACTTAAATTGTAATTTGTTCCCCAATTGTTTTAAGGAAAAGATTTCTCCTACCTAGAAGTGGGGGAAAATAAAGTAAGTTCTACTTAAAACACTGCATTTCACCTTGGTATTTCAAAGGTACATACCATACATCCAGTGGCGGCCATTACTTCATATTCTATACTCTGTTCATCCCTCAGTGCTGACACCACACCTTGACCTCTGACCTCTTGCTGAACTTTCATAGCAGAGGATGTGTTGATCTTCATGGTCGGTCGTCCAGACTTATCAGACCCACAGTCCACCTGTTGAGGATATTGGAAACAAAATGTGAGAAACAGGTATTTAGCATGAGGCATTGTAGTCTATGATTGCCATTTGAAATCAACCTGTGAAATATGGGAGAGACATAGTATTGTTTCAGTCATTGCTCTTGAATTGGTTGGTTTACTGCAATTTTATTTGAAACATTTGCAAGTGGTCTATGTTTGCAAACCATATTTTGATGATGCAAACTTTCTCGTTCAGCCTGTATGTGCCAACTGTGTCATTTAAGTCTACTCTTAATTCCTTGAAGGTTTTCACATTATATAAATATGTGAAAACTTTGAAGATCAATGCAGAGCAATACTATTATGTAATAATAAGGGGTATGATTATAACATCAAGTAAATACAAGTAGTAATTTCAAAATGATTGCCATTTAAAATGTGAAATACACTGTACTTAATTCATCAACCTTAATTAATAATTTTGCAATTATGATATAAGGAAACAGAAGCTTTCAAACTTTGACTTTCAACCTTTAATTAATTAGGAACTGACCTTCAGTCGGAGATTGGCTTGGGATTCTGTGTTGTCACTGAGGTGTCTCACACTGGAATAGTGGTCACCATTGTGGTAGGCGATGTGTATCTGTCGAGCATTGGGCGTCGGCTTGGAAAGGCCCTGAATCTATATACAAATATAATACAAACAGATGTAAGTAACAGTCAAGTATACCATAGTTTTCATACAGAACACACAGCAAATTGCTTTAAACTTTAGAATAGATCATATCTATATATGTATGACCAAAAGTTTAGTTTTCACAGATATTCCTTCAGATCCCTTTCTGCAAATTATTTTCATTGTTCTTTTCACAGCTTTCTATTCCAATGATAAATCACCATTAAAAAACAGCCTTTTTAATCTAGCCACTGTTATTGACACTAGCTGGAAAAATGAGACACCTTCGCATTAATACATTATATGAAAGAAAATTATGTTTAAAGCAGTCTAGCCATGTTGAAGTTTTACTCACAGAACACTGTTTATTATTATATACATTGTATTACGTTTACTTCATCTTCATAACAATTTGTCATTAAGGTCCCGCAAGGTTTGATTTTCTCTCCAGAAATGATTTATCAAAGCTATATTGACGCCAGAAACAAGGTTCTAACGCACGGTTACAGTTTTGGCAGTGATACTGGGACCACTATGTTGTTTTCCTGTTGAGTGTACATACCAGAAGGAAGGGCGAGCTGAGCTGGTGGATGATTACATTGACCTGTTGGAGTCTAGCAAAAGCTACGATAGCATCATTTCCTGCGTACGTACCAATTTTTCGTAGATTCTGAACTGAAATAAGATAAAAAGAAAATATAATACATTGTATACAAAGCTTAATGGAAAAGTCTATTTAATTTGTAATCTTGTCAGTGAAAATTTCCAATTTAAGCCATTGTTAGCTTTTCTAGATCTCTGCAGTAATTATAAATGCAGATCTTATAGAGCTACAGTAGTGTGTGATGCATAGCTTTATGTAGTAGATTTTGAGATTTGGAGTTATATGGGAAGACAGAGTACACAACCATACATCAATACTCAGGGACAATGGCTGTTTACACCTAATTAACTCCTCACACTCAATCTTATAAATACAGGGTCCATCAGTTTTCTACATGAAAACCAAATCAATCATTTTTGATCATTTTTATACCACTTTTTTTAAAACAATACATATTGGTATAACTTCTAGTTGTAGTTGTAAGTAGCACATATTAGTGTAGGTGTAGTCAACAGGTGACTTATACAAACTACCAGGGGTCATTAGGTGCTAAATCAGACTTAGGGATTAGTGGGCGCAAGAGTAGAGGTGTTTATGGGTAAGAGGTCTCAGAGTATTTCAGAGGTCAGAGGGGTCAGGAGAAGAGGTGTTTGTAGGTTAAAGCTCTGAGGAAGACGGGTTCAGTGGTGAGAAGGGTTAAGGAAAGCGGGTTTTAGAGGTGAGAGGGGTATAGGAAAGCAGGTTTAAGAGGTTAGAGGGGTCATGGGTAGAGGGGGTTAAAGGGGTCAGGGGTAAAGCGGGCAAGAGGGATCAGGAGTGGGGTTCACAGGTTAGAGGGCTCAGGTAGTAGGGTTCTGAGGTTAGAGGGGGGCAGAGGGGTTAGGGGTAGAGGAGTTCAGAGTTTAGAGGGGTCAGGGGTAGAGGGGTTTCGTGGTTAGATGGGTCTTGAGAAGAGGGATTTAGAAGATTAAAGGAGTCAGAGATAGAGGGGTTCATATAATACAATAGGTAAGATGGTCAAATGGTTCAATAGGGCAATATGATTCAGGTTCCATAATGAACCAAGGAATATCATGTCTATTTGAAATTACACAAGATGATTTATACAAGGGAAGAGATCGATGGGCAGTGTTAACTGGTATATCATTCTATGTATCAAAACTCAGGTGTTAGAGGCCTTCAGGGATAATTCATTTTAGAAAATCAGACAGCAGAGTTTAAAAATTAGAGAAGATCAATTATAAATGATTTTCAAGATAATTCTATTGGAGAGGATTGTGACAGAGCTTAAGGGTTAAATCAAAGTTGGTTAGATTAACTAACAGGGTTAGGAATATCCAGCTTAGATAAAGTACAGGTAACAGGTATGATCCAGGATAATTAAATGGTTATAGTGTTAGCGTAGATAAAGTTCCACCTGAAATCATGAATAGCTATATAAGTATATAGATCCAAAATTACTGTGATATTATTATTGAACACCTAGAACTCACTGTGTCGATCAAATGGAACGTCGTCCTCCACAAATGGTTCAAAGTCTTCCCGGTGTTCTGACATGAAGTTGACAACATCATATCGGTACTTGAAGTGGTTCCTACCATGACCCTCCAGTTGGTCCCCCAAAGCTCGGAATAGACAATTCCTAGAAGAAATATTTACATACACTTAGCATTACAGAAGTCTTTAGCAAATCACGGATGGTCAGTCTGTTGACAAATTGGCTCCCAAGTATTTAATTAAGCTGCAGTTACCATTTTTCACTTATATATCCATCTATAGCACTTGTTGAGAAAAAATGCTAACCACTGTTCATCAATGGTTTAATGTGATTCTCTGAGGTAATCCACCAGTATTATCAGAGCATATTTCAATATGAAGTCACATGACCATGTACCAACAAGGTATAACAGGTAAAAAAAACTTTGTAAAGTAAAGATACAACAGAACTCAACTTCTCCTTTGAAAGATCCTGTAAACTAAGAGACCATATCAGTGTTTCTTAACACATCAACAAACAGGATGTCTCAGATCTTTTACACCTTCATCCATCCCCTGGAATATCTCCTTTATTCATGTGTCCCCCTGCCAGGATGTCTTGTACATGTACTTACCCATCTCCTGGGATATCCCTCAGTTGTAGACCAATCTTGCTGAGCTGCATCTTAAAACTTGGAAAATTACCATCGTCAGAGAGGTAAGAGACTACCTTTCTCTCACGTTTGTGGTGCTCTCGCACAGCCCGCTCCTCCCGCTTCCGTGACACAACATCCTGTCGGTAGTGCTGAGACTTTGTCATTCTCGGATCATAAACGTACTGCACTCCCCTCGCAGACATGGAAATAGACTAAGGACCAAAGCTGTCCCTATAAATAGAAAGATAGTGTTAAAAATTAAGCAATGAAATCCAGTGTACGTATTTATAAGTCAGTGCAAGTGTTATTTCCATGATGGATGCTACCTTTAGACAAACTTAGAATACTTCATTTCCCGAGATGCAGGTTTATGAAGACTTAAGTTACAATTAGCAACTATACAGTTGCGTGATAAAACAATCATTATTATATACTTGAAAATTTCCTGCAATCACATTGCAATTGGCCGGATCCTATACACGTGACAAGTCCTCAAAAACTCATGTAGTCTGGTTATCTGGTGAAAATCAATTTCTAAATATAGCCTGTATTTATTTTACACAGAGTCTCGTTCCAGAACATTACAAATTGTATTGTTGAAGCATATAATAAAACAGTTATGGGCTTTTGTGCTGGTAAATATAATGTGATATGAACCTGAAAAAGTTATATAGACCTCGGCTTTACCTCAGTCAAATTATCACTTTTTCAGGTTCATATCATGTATCCACATCATATTCACCAGCACAAAAGTCCATCATCGTATAATGTTTTACATCATGCCCAATACATATATATATACAGTATACACACAACAGTAGAGTCAGTGCCTTGTTATTTTTTGTTGTCACTACCACAGTCCTCAATTTGAGGACATGGCATTATACTGGGATTTGACTGAGAAAATGATTTACAAGGCAGACCTTGTCAATGAGTGGTGGTATATCATACAAATGTAATAAGATGTTAAGTGTATACTTACAAGAGCAGGATAAGTTTAGTGTATAGCAGCATTAATATCTTCATAAGAATGTTTTGTCACTGTTAAGTCATGAAGGATCTTCGTATGTATGTTTTGTCACTGTTAAGTCATGAAGGATCTTCGTATGTATGTTTTGTCACTGTTAAGTCATGAAGGATCTTCGTATGTATGTTTTGTCACTGTTAAGTCATGAAGGATCTTCGTATGTATGTTTTGTCACTGTTAAGTCATGAAGGATGTTGAGTTTATGAAGTTTGACTCCTGATTAGGTACATATTATATAGTATTTATGGTAAACCAAGTGCTTAAATATTTGGTTAGTTTATATAAATGTATGGCTGTGCCTCATTTAGTCAAGTGTGTAGATGTATTGTAACTTGTATCTATAGCAATCTAGTGTGTGTATACGTAACACAGAGACTCAGCACCATTTATGATCCAAATGATTTGGCATAATTTAGTGTTTAAAGCAGAAACAAATGCTCTAAAACATTCAATCAATCTGTCAGAATCTAAAATAGCAGCAATAGTGTGTGCGTCATGAAAACTAATTAATTGAGAGTTAAATCAATATCACACAAAAACAATCACGTCAAGGAAGTCACATGCACAACTGCTTAAATACATCAGCACATTAATCATATAGATGAAAGGGCAAATCGATATAAGACCCTTTCATGAAAGAAAACATTTGGTCAAGACACATCCTGTACATAACAAATACACCAGTGTTCTGTATCCTAATTAGGAACCCCTATGTGTGTCTACAAGAGCCTGCTATTTACAACATGTCCAGTATATGAGTCTCTTGTTGAGCAGGCTGAGACAGTTAATTATCAAATACCAGAGGTATTATTCCCATCTTCTCAAGATCAGCTCCCTTCCTATAATCAATACTTAGTCAGACACTTAGCTATAGTCTACTTAAACAAACTGGCTCACCCACAAACAATACAAATACTGTTGTACATAAAATATAGCTGTATAATACTTAATGCTAATATGTAACGACTCAATGTTCCTTGGACATAAGGTATACAATACAAGTATAAAATGGACAGGTAACAACTAATTTGCAACCCAAATGACTGTAATGGTACACTTTAATGTAGACAGTAAATCTTAACATTTTGTAATTTAAATATGCTAAACAATAATGAATTCTCAGCAAATATGTCTGTTCCCTTTGTCCAGGTGATATCTTACCTCACATCGCTGAACAAATGTACACAGAAAGTGCCAGAGCATTTTTTTTTTATCTCAATAAATCAATGATACACGATACCAGTCCTATCTGGTACAAAACAACAACAAAAAGGGTAATACACACTTTGAATGTATAATATGACTTTGTGAGCAGGTCAAGGTCAAGGTCATTTGGTATGTCAAGAATTACAAAGGCAACTGGTGCATGTATGAAGAGAATGTATACTGTGAGCTTAAATTTGAATTCATGCAGATCAAGTGTTTTTCACGTTTTCATCCGGAAATTATACTTGTGCAGAGTAGAATTCATGGAAAAGTCGGCATTCCATGATGTTTTATCTCAGCAAAACATTTTAACTTTTAATTGTGCTCTTAAATTTATTCCTATTAAAATCCTTAATTTGGTGTTTGTTAAAAAGATAATGTTTACTGCTTTGATATTTTTAACTTATAAAAAATTTGAATGTGTCGTGTAAACATTTTACCAGTATTAAAACCATATGCATGTTTATAACATGAATGGAATATACTTCAAATTGGATGTAACCAATTACCTTTTAATAAATAAAGACATTTGTCAATAAAGCAAAATTTTAATTCATTTAAAATGTAACAGGACATTTGATTGTTCAATCAAAATAATATGCAAAAGTTTTATGTACAGGGGTGGTTGGGTTGTGCAGTGGTTTTATGTACTGTTAGGGTTGGTTGGGAGGTGTAGTGGTTTTATATACTGGGGTGGTTGGGAGGTGTAGTACATGGTTTTATGTACTGGGATGGTTAGGCTGTGCAGTGGTTTTATATACTGGGTTGGTTGGGAGGTGTAGTGGTTTTATATACTGGGGTGGTTGGGAGGTGCAATGGTTTTATGTACTGGGGTGGTTGGGAGGTGTAGTGGTTGTATGTACTGGGGTGGTTGGTAGGTGTAGTACATGGTTTTATGTACTGGGGTGGTTGGGTTGTGCAGTGGTTTTATGTACTGTTAGGGGTGGTTGAGAGGTGTAGTGGTTTTATGTACTAAGGTGGTTGGGAGGTGTAGTACATGGTTTTATGTACTGCTAGGGGTGGTTGGGAGGTGTAGTAGTTTTATGTACTAGGGTGGTTGGGAGGTGTAGTAGTTTTATGTACTGGGGTGGTTGGGTTGTGCAGTGGTTTTATGTACTGTTAGGGGTGGTTGAGAAGTGTAGTGGTTTTATGTACTAAGGTGGTTGGGAGGTGCAGTGGTTTTATGTACTGTTAGGGGTGGTTGGGAGGTGTAGTGGTTTTAAGTACTGGGGTGGTTGGGAGGTGTAGTACATGGTTTTATGTTCATACTGTTAGGGGTGGTTAGGAGGTGTAGTGGTTTTATGTACTGTTAGGGGTGGTTGAGAAGTGTAGAGTGGGTATGTACTAAGGGGGTTGGGAGGTGTAGTAGTTTTATGTACTGGGGTGGTTGGGAGGTGTAGTACATGGTTTTATGTTCATACTGTTAGGGGTGGTTAGGAGGTGTAGTGGTTTTATGTACTGTTAGGGGTGGTTGGGAGGTGGAGTGGGTTTATGTACTGTAAGGGGGGGGTGGGAGGGGTAGTGGTTTTATGTACTGTTAGGGGTGGGTGGGAGGTGTAGTGGTTTTATGTACTGGGGTGGTTGGGAGGTGTAGTGGTTTTATGTACTGTAAGGGGTGGTTGGGAGATGTAGTGGTTTTATGTACTGTTAGGGGTGGTTGGGTGGTGCAGTGGTTTTATGTACTGTTAGGGGTGGTTAGGAGGTGTAGTGGTTTTATGTACTGTTAGGGGTGGTTAGGAGGTGCAGTACGTGGTTTTATGTACTGGGGTGGTTGGGAGGTGTAGTTCGTGGTTTTATGTACTGTTAGGGGTGGTGGGGAGGTGCAGTGGTTAATGCACTCTCCTTTCACAAAGGTGGCCGTGGGTTTTCTGCAGGTACTCCGGGTTCCTCCTACATTAAGTCCCTCTGCACGCTTCAATCCAGGCCATCAACATTGATTTATATAGGTTAGAGAACTTGTTCCCAATTGTTGTAGAATAAATAAAGTTTATATTATATATCGACTGTTTGTCTGTAGTCTCAATCTTAGATATGACTATAATGCCTTGAATTTGAAATTTTAGATGCATTTTTAAATTTGTTGTAAAAATTTTTCCATAAAAGGTGTGAAAATAACACTGCCATGAAAATGACCTTGTATACAGTAATTATAGAGATTATGTGTTGTATAGGTAACAGTGTGTAAAGCCACAGTATTGTTATACATATTGTGTTTGAGATTTTAACATTGCTAACAATCTGGAAAGTAATACTGAGAGTCGGCCATTAAAACAATTATTTCAGTCGTTCATATTTACTTTTTGAAAGGGATTTCAATTATAAAAACATTTTTTGAAGAAACCACGCAATTTGGATGAAATGTAAACAGGTGCAATCTATGATGAAATAGTTAAAAGACTTTGTCCAAAAAGTTCAGTTTAAGGTTGAAAGCCAAACCAGAGGTACAGCAAATTGATATAGTTAACAGTTATAAGCAGAGCTAAAATTGAAGCCTAGCTAATAATGGAAGTTTAAAGTATATTATTTAGTGTTTGTCTGTAGAGTTAAAAATTACTATACAGGTCAGTTATGAATTCCTAAGTGCATTAATGTACTAGTAGTGAGTACCAGAAAAGCTGTTAGATCATGCAGGTTGTGTGACTCCTGGTGTAAATATAAGGGACAATCAAGGTATATATATTTGACCTCTAAACATGTACTCATACACTTATACACTCCTCTTAAATTGTTTAACTGCCCATAGTGAAATTACTTACAATAAGCATGCTGAACGAATCTAGCCCCCAGGCTGAAGTTAATGGTATTTAGAGGTTAGCAGGTTACAGGTATATATACTCTTTTTAATACAATATATGTATATGTAATAATGAATTGTGTATGTTATAATATGGTATAATGGGGGTGGAAAGTTTGGTGTACAACTTTTAAAGCTGTATAATACCATGGAGCAGAAAACTAATAATTGTCACCTTTTGATAAAAGGGAGACAAATAAATCAAAGTGATCATTACAATACACCAGTATTTTATTGTACTATGTCAACTACATGAAAGTGTTTGACCATCTTTTGAAGAAAACATTTACAGATATCATGAACCAAGGTCTTTAAGAACGTAATTTGTTCATGAAATATTTTGTTTTATTCTTCGTACACTATGGGGAAATTTTCTTAAAAGCTTAAAATGAGAAAGAAAAGTTGGCATAAATTATCACACCTTAGGAATTTGATAAGATGCAAATAACAATTAGTTTATAGGCTGACATGGACACATAAATCACTGATGGTATCTTAGTGTCAGGGGTTTGTACCAAGGTGCACTTTGTACCAGCTACACTTAGGGAGATTGGGACAACTTGCCATTAACCTGTATCAGGTGTACCAAGGTAAACTGTATCCGTCACTATGGTATTTTGTGTGGGTACATCCTAAACATTCGGGTTATTGTCACATTAAAAATCATGAACAAATATGGTGTACTTTTTCACATCGCTTTTTATAATTTTAGTATATGTAGGTTAATCAAATACATGTACACAGTGAGTATAGGATTGAAGTGACAATGCAACATTTTTACAGATACTTGAACAAATAATTTCACCACCACACAAAAACCAGTACATTGTGTATTGGTAAACTTAATTTCCGATTAAAAGAAAAAAACCACAAAATTAATAAGCTCTAAAACCTGTATACATGTACACGTATAAATGAATCGTCAGGTAATATATATCTTATTTATATATATTAAAGTGCGGGAACCATTAGCTCAATTAGACGCGATGAATTTATTTATTTTGAAATTTTAGATTATTCGGTCTGATTATTTAAAATTCAAATTTGATAATTAACATTTCAAATAAAATTTTGTTTATGAGACTTCGACATAGTTTGTATGGCTACCTTACATAATTAAGCACTTGCAATAAAAATAGTTGAAAAAATAAAGTCCTACCTGGGCCGTACCTTATCTGTATATCAACATCATTATAAACACTTCTGTGTCATCATTTATAACCGTCTGTAGCCCACACAGTGTAACCGACATAGTTTGTATAAACACCAAGTACATTGGAATAACTATCCATGCATGGCTCCTAAAAGTGGGGTTTGAAATTAAAAGGATGGTCTCAATGGCAGCAATAAATACCAGGTACATATCTCATACATGATGAACCTATGCAGTATTCATAAATGCGCTAGTAAAAGCATGTGAAAAATTTATAATTCTTTTCTGAAACAATAATTTAATGTTTTGTGAATGTAAACCTTGATGAGATTTTGTTTTCAAGTTTTAACATACATTGATGAGATTTCGTTTTCAAGTTTTAATATACGTTGATGAGATTTCATTTTCAAGTTTTTACATACGCTGATGAGATTTCGTTTTCAAGCTTTAACATACATTGATGAGATTTCGTTTTCAAGTTTTAACATAAGTTGATGAAATTTCGTTTTCAAGTTTTAACATACGTTGATGAGAATTCATTTTCAAACTTTAACATACGTTGATGAGATTTCGTTTTCAAGCTTTAACATACGTTGATGAGATTTCGTTTTAAAGCTTTAACATACGTTGATGAGATTTCGTTTTCAAACTTTAACATACGTTGATGAGATTTCATTTTCAAGCTTTAACATACGTTGATGAGATTTCGTTTTCAAACTTTAACATACGTTGATGAGATTTCGTTTTCAACCTTTAACATACGTTGATGAGATTTCGTTTTCAAGCTTTAACATACGTTGATGAGATTTCGTTTTCAAGCTTTAACATACGTTGCACTGATAAATGATTATGATGAAGCTTCTGCGTAAACAAATTGTGCTGTTTTTATAATGTGATAAGATGTACAGGGATGTACAGTGTGTATATAACAAATTGTGCTGTTTTTATAATGTGATAAGATGTACAGAAATGTATATAACAAATTGTGCTGTTTTTATAATGTGATAAGATCTACAGGGATGTACATGTATATAACAAACTGTGCTGTTTTTATAATGTGATAGCTAGGATGTACAGGGATGTACATAACAAATTGTGCTGTTTTTATAATGTGATAAGATGTACAGGGATGTTTATAACAAATTGTGCTGTTTTTATAATGTGATAAGATCTACAGGGATGTACATGCATATAACAAACTGTGCTGTTTTTATAATGTGATAGCTAGGATGTACAGGGATGTACATAACAAATTGTGCTGTTTTTATAATGTGATAAGATGTACAGGGATGTATATAACAAATTGTGCTGTTTTTATAATGTGATAAGATCTACTGGGATGTACAATCTAAAATTTAGAACTAAAGTTCTAGCCTACAGGTACCATACTTAAGATTACCTCAGATTACATAATAAAATTAAGCCTCTGTTTCATTTGCAACCTTTGTCATAACAAAAAACTTTCTAAGTCTTTTTTCCCAATTCTTTAATACCTCTCCTTACAGTAATTAGGCCAAACAAAACATATTTGATGTTTCCGGTAACCCTTCCTACCCTAACATTTTTAATGGCAATTTTCAAAGAAGCAACGTTAAAGTCAAGTTCATTCTCCTATATAAAACATTTAAAAGTTTCCTACATGTTACAGGAAACACATAATCTTTTTCTGGCTTTACAAAACACCATTTACATGACTGTTACAGGTATTGTCAGGAACCTACATTTTGTAATTCTAAGTTGAACAATTGCCCAATACTATCCAGGATCCCTGTACAAGACATTGTATGGGCAGATCTGGTCGACCAGTACAAACCTAACGAGTATAATGACCAAAAAGACTAAGGAAGACATAGGAAAAACAAATGAGACTGTCGACGTCTTAGCCATACAAAAGTAAGACAGGACTTAAAAAACGTTTGCCTTATATTTGTTTTTGGGTGAAACAATCTAGTACAGAATGACTCTTGACAAACAAGATTTAAGGTGAAATGACCTGATATCTACCTGGTATCTAAAGTACATGTATATAACAAAATATTACATGGCCAAATAAACTTTAAAACCCACGTATTGGTGACGCTTGAATATGTTGTGATCATATGCATTTTCTCTAAAATATCACAGGAGTATAGTGAAATTGTGGTAAAAATTACAGAGCAGCTTGATCTCTTGTCAAAATATACATGTTATAATGAGTAATCCGAGGCAGCAAAAACGTAAAATGGAACAGCAATCTTCAAACCTTGTTTTTGTTTTTATTTTATTCTCTTAACCATTACCATGAACATTTCTACGCAATTACATCCTGAAGATTATTACAAGTTATGGGTCAAATATATGATTCAACTTTTAAGTGATACTGTTTATGTATATGTTACCAGTATAGTTTTTCAAACTTCAATTAATTCGACTCACTATTTTCAAAATTATTCTCTTAAATAGTCAATCTGTATCAACTGTTCAAACCTATGTTAATATTTACATATATACTTATACCACATGCTGTAACCGGAATGGGAGAAGACTTATAAAGGCGTCAGCCTGTTGTCTAATGCTTTTGTGTTGGAATTGGAAACGATAAAATATCTTGAATTGAAATATTATAATATATAAGTGATATCTAAGTAATGATCATCTAAACTAAACCAGAAATTCTAAAGACTCTTGGCACTCAAACTGAACATTTTTATTTTTATTGACAGCTCATGATCAGTTCCCATATTTAGAAGATTACATAATGTCATGTAATAGGGACAGAGCATGTGCAAGATGTTTGGTAAAAGACAGCTAGATATATGAATTAAAATCGTAGTATATACACATTGTATATATTATTGTACACAGTATTAATTGTTACAAGGTTATTGTTTACAGTTGTTAATTAAATTGCAAGCATGAACTATTCTTACTTAAGTGACACTAGTATCAGTTGATTATGACAGCTGTCACAAGTTAGGGGGCACCTGATCATGACCAGTCAGAAGAGTGGTAACACTTGAGTCAGATCTGCTTTTCTCTTATAATTATAATCCAATGAGGGAATTTTTATCTCGCAATTGGTCGTATACTTTAGAATACATATCAGTAAAGCGCAAATCTATTACAGCAACATTGTTTCAACAAAACATCGTACATTATATAGCAGGAGAAATATGGTGGAAACATGAACTGAACTGCATACAATTATCAAATAAAGTCCTACCTTTAGGATTAAATAAAATCACTTGGTTTGAAACCTGCTGAAATTTAACGATTCTGTGTTTTCTTCAAATCTGTCTCTGACCCTGGTGCTGACACACCCTTCTCTGTGAACAGGTATGTCGGAATTAAAACACCTTTATAACTGAAAGTCTATTTTTAACTCCGAAGAAAAGCCGGCGAATTTCATTGCTCACCAGGTGAGACTATTACTAGCTTGTCCGACCGAACAGACACTTACCCGACCAGTGTGTGGGTAGATCTATAGGCCTACCTGTTTACTCTAATAGCGTGACAGGTAGACCGTGACTGGCCTTTTAAATATGTAGGCCTAAATGGTTGTTCATGAATGAAAACCGGTCTTGTGCTGACATTAGCAACATGGAGCAGGGGGTTTGGGGAATAAAAGACTATATATTTATCTTTTATGGCATTTGCATACCTGTCTTGGTTCTTGCTGATCTTGTAATTTCTATGATAGGCTTGGTTAAATTCATTTCCTAAATATCAGAACGTATATATATTGCATTGTCCTTAGCAATGACTGCAAACCGGAAGTTGCGTAAAGTAAAACGGAAGTTGTCGTACTGTCATGGCTGAAGATGGGGCAAAGTATAAGCTGACTGCGGCAAAAAGTGGTAAAACGCAAAAGGAAAAAGACAATTCTGACTCCGAAGTAGAAAATAATACAGGTAATTAGAGTAGATATCGAATGGGTAAGTTACAGTTGTAGGTCGTGAATGTGGATCTACATATCCTGGACACGTCATAGTCATCGTGTCGGATCGTTGTAAAGAAGTAAAAACGAAAGTAAGCAGGTAAGTACACTGTGATAGAAGGACCATTGAATTTCAAGAAATCTGACCCATGTGGATATTTTTTCGTGCTATTTGGTCACAATAAGGTATCTATACACGTAATAATCTTGAAATCCTTCCTGCTTAACTTTATCCAAAAACATCAGACGAGCTTAGTGCCAAGTGTGAAGCTCTGTAAGGCGGGCATCACATTGACACAAATTAGAAATGCATCCTTACTAATAGGTGGGGACTTTAACCTCCCCGGACTTGATTGAAAAAAAACATGTCTATCAAACCTAACACAACCCATCAAAACTTTCACACCCAGTTTCTAAATTTACTAGGGCTACATTTGTGTACATACCGGTTGAAACAGTACGTGTGGCGCAGAAATTGTCCACGATAAACGAACGCACTTGGACCGTTCAATGAATATTTAAAATCATTTCTTATACTGTAGCAATTACAAAAGAAAATTACCTAACATAACAGTTGCAACAGACAGGACACTCTCACTCTTTCTCCTATCTCACTCCACATTGTAGAACAGACTGCCGCAAATACTCTTTTTTTCCCGGAACTATCCCAGACTGGATCAACCTCCCACTAGACCGGGTCTCATCCGAAACTTTGGAAACCTTTAAAAGTCGTCTCTCCTCTCTACAAAATTAGCTCTATTAATTTCTCACTCTCTTTTCCTGTACAATAAGTACAACCCAAACATTGACATGATCCTCATTATGATAAAGTAGGTCGATAAACAGGTAGAAGTAGAAGTAGAAAATAAGAACTGTTCTTGATTGGAACCAGTTTGATGAGAATGTGACACGCGCAGAGACAGTTGAGGGTTTTAAAGATGCTCTCACACAGTATATACTACTAGAGTAACCAGCCTCCCCCCAGAAGAATCATATACCAGAATTATTCCTTGTTTCGTAACTCTACAGATACAGATAAAGAGAACACTTAATGCACCCCTCCATCTGTCCAAACAGACACACTCACCCCCTAAAGCTAGTTTCAAACATCTAACTGTGTAATCAAAAGTCCTTACAGTATAAAAATGACTGATTTTCATACTGATACTGTTGCAGCAATATATATGTGTTTATATTCAGAATGCATACACATTTCATAGTATATACATGTACATGTAATCTGTAAATTACAATCCCGGCACGACTAAATGCCCTGTTGTATAAGTCCCCAATTCTCCCCGTTATAAAGATAAGGTAAGTTTATTTCTGGTTAAGGACTAATACATAAAGCCCTCTATACCAGACTCAAAAAATACATACAAAGTATTATTATGCATATATAATATATACAATTTGACAGTTATATGATTGCAGCTCTGTAATTTAAAAAAGTTCTTGGTTATTCCAGTGGTTTTTAGCTCGTCCGGCGTCTGTCGTCTTGTCCATCAACTTTTTTTCTTTTAAACGACTTCTTCTGAAGAACTGGATGATCTAGGGTCATGCTATTTTGCCAGTAGGTACCTAGGATGGAGTGCTATAAAGTTTCCTCATTAAAATGACCTTGACCTACTTTCAAGGTCACAGAGGTCAAATATGTTCAAAAATTCAAACAACAATATCCTAGGAACCATTTGGACTAGAGTCATGATACTTAGTAATGTTATGAAGACCAGCAGTGCGGATCTTTTTCTTAATTACAGTAATATGGTCAAAGGTCAACTTTAAGTGCTAGTTGGGGGTCAAATGTCAACATGGGTTAAAACCTTGAACAATCTTTTTCTCAAGTTCCATAAGGCCCAGGGTCATAATATTCGGCCAGTAGGTACCTGGGATAGAGTGCTAAAAAAAAATCCTCTTTAAAATGACCTTGACCTTCTTTCAAGGTAACAGGGGTCAAATATGTTAAAAACTTCAAACAACAATATCCTTAGAACCATTTGGACTAGAGTCATGCTACTTAGTACCAGGGATAGAGTGCTATAAAGTTTCCTCTTTAAAATGACATTGAGCTACTTTCAAGGTCACATAAGTCAAAAATGTGAAAAAAACAACTTCAAACGACGTGTTCTAGTTACCAAATTGGTCTGAAGTTACCTATATGTCGGTTTCATGTAACTAAAGAAACAGGTGCGCGATACAGGCCCTCTGGGCCTCTTGTTTTTTAACAAGGACTCGAAAATAGTGAGTCGAATTAATTGAGGTTTGAAAAACTATACTGGTAACATATACATAAACAGTATCACTTAAAAGTTGAATCATATATTTTACCCATAACTTGTAATAATCTTCAGGATGTAATTGCGTAGAAATGTTTATGGTAATGGTTAAGAGAATAAACATGCCTCCTTCATTGTATTACAAGATTTCTTAATAGTTCTAACATTAACAAATGGTGGCAGTGTAACAGCTAGGTTTTACTGTGCTTACCGTACTGGTTTTACTGTGCTTACCGTACTGGTTTTACTGTGCTTATATTTTACCGCACTGGTTTAATGTGCTTACCGTACTGGTTTTACTGTGCTTACCGCACTGGTTTTACTGTGCTTACCGTACTGGTTTTACTGTGCTTACCGTATTGGTTTAATGTGCTTACCGTACTGGTTTTACTGTGCTTACCATACTGGTTTTCCATTTAACTACAGCTAGCTTATGCATGTTTTATGAAGGAATCAGTTTTGACATTAGGTAGCTAAATTACAGTGTATATAAACACCATTATTAGTATTAAGATCCCAGGATAGTTAGATAACTTTGTACATATTGATTTTTATGTATTATAAAAACTTCTGAAACCCAGTAAAGTGTTTCTTTTCCTCCCAGACATATCAAAGATCCTCCATCGTAAGTTGTCCGATGTTGGAGCCTACTCGTACTCAGCACTGTGTGCGGTCTCCTTCCTACAGCTGTACGAGGACAAACTGCACAAGTGAGTACATTACTGTGTTTATTATTATATATATTATTATTTATATTATTAAATTAAAATAAATTGATTAAAATTAAAATTTCCTTTGTACTACCAAATATGACAGTGCCTGAATTAGCAGCCAAAGACAGATAATTATTTAATGTGAGTGATCCATTAATGCATGTACAAGGACCAAAGTATGTGTCTAATTTAGAAGAAATATGTCTGTCATTTTGAATATATGATTTAGGAAATCAATCATTAGATTATACATTTAAAATTGTTCCTTACTATATAAATTGCTTAAAGGGTCATCTCATATGTAACACAGAAATATTATTGGTACATTTTCTTAAATATTTTTAGATGATTTAAAAATATATCTCTAATATCTTAAGTAGGCTTTATAAAGTGGTTTATATAAAAAATCTTCATATTTCTAAGTATGAATTATACTTAACTTGTGATTGTATGTAAAATAAAACAGAATATTTGATTATTTGTAATCAACTTTTTAAGTTAAGTTGGTATTTCATTTCACCAGTGAATTTAAGAAAGTCTACATGGAAAGGATTGTGGACCACCTACATCTACCAAGCCAGGTATGTTTGTAATAAATTAATGGTAAATTATATCAGCAAAATTCTAATGGAAAATGTAATGCTTGGGATATTAATATACTGGTATAATTAAGATCTTAAGTTCATGATGAGAACTAACATCAAGCCAAATTAACAGCTTCCAACTTGCATTTGGTATTGGCATGTTAAATTTCACTTTTCCAAGTTCACTTTTATATAAACTTCAAACCTGTTTTAGTCATCATTTGACTTGTAAGGAAATAGAGAAATGGAAAGCCTGTAACAACAAAACACATATATTAAAGGCTCAAGTACAAGCTCTGTATCAAGTGTGATATTAAAGGCTTAAGAACAAGCACTGTATCAAGTGTGATATTTAAGGCTCAAGTACAAGCTCTGTATCAAGTGTGATAGTAAAGGCTCAAGTACAAGCTCTGTATCAAGTGTGATGTTTAAGGCTCAAGTACAAGATCTGTATCAAGTGTGATATTAAAGACTCAAGTACAAGCTCTGTATCAAGTGTGATGTTCTAGGCTAAAGTACAGAAGCTCTGTATCAAGTGTGATATTAAAGGCTCAAGTACAAGCTCTGTATCAAGTGTGATATTAAAGGCTCAAGTACAAGCTCTGTATCAAGTGTGATGTTCAAGGCTCAAGTACAAGCTCTGTATCAAGTGTGATATTAAAGGCTCAAGTACAAGCTCTGTATCAAGTGTGATATTAAAGGCTCAAGTACAAGCTCTGTATCAAGTGTGATGTTCAAGGCTCAAGTACAAGCTCTGTATCAAGTGTGATATTAAAGGCTCAAGTACAAGCTCTGTATCAAGTGTGATATTAAAGGTTCAAGTACAAGCTCTGTATCAAGTGTGATATTTAAGGCTCAAGTACAAGCTCTGTATCAAGTGTGATATTTAAGGCTCAAGTACAAGCTCTGTATCAAGTGTGATATTTAAGGCTCAAGTACAAGCTCTGTATCAAGTGTGATATTAAAGGCTCAAGTACAAGCTCTGTATCAAGTGTGATATTAAAGGCTCAAGTACAAGCTCTGTATCAAGTGTGATATTTAAGGCTCAAGTACAAGCTCTGTATCAAGTGTGATATTTAAGGCTCAAGTACAAGCTCTGTATCAAGTGTGATATTAAAGGCTCAAGTACAAGCTCTGTATCAAGTGTGATATTAAAGGCTCAAGTACAAGCTCTGTATCAAGTGTGTTAAACTTCATTTACACTTTAACTAGACGACAATATGACAATCATCAAGTTTTTAGGACAGGACAAACTGAAGTGCAATATTGTGACTTGCTTAGAAGTAACATTAGAATCATTACACAGACAAGAAGATTTCTGAGGCCTACAGGGCAGTTGTTTTAAAATAATTCAATGTAATACTTAACCTACCCTGAATACTGTTGAAGATCCAGCTTGTTTTTGACAAATTATTTCAATAGTGGACAAATCATGTTTTTTTTCAGTTCTAAAGAAGTTCTGAAAAAACATAGTTAGGAGGTTAAATTTCTCCAAAAAGAAAGTCCACAATAATCATACACAATTTGAAGCTGCAACTGTGATGACTTGCTATTGAATTTGATGTCTGACGACCTCAGGAATGTCAGACTTACACAGTCTGACTATAACTTAATGCTTTACATAGAACTTTTGGAATTTAAATAAGAGCTACATATATATATATATATACCTATTGAACAACATCTAATAAATATATTCTCTCATGTTGATTTAAATTACAAGTGAATTAGTGAATCACATTTTCATTATACATTTTAAATCATCTAAATAACAAAAGTTCACTAATTCATGAATGATGTCTCAAACTCTTTCTGAGAGTGGATAAATACTATTGTAAGGTGCTTCATACCCTTAACTGTATGTATTCCTATTGTAATGTTGGTGTTCCAGGCAAGGGATTCAGTGATGGCAATCATGGAAGGTCAGGGTTTTGACGACGCCCGCCCCTATGTAGACATGGTCCTAGATGAACCTGTCCTGGAAAAGTCTGGTGTGCCAGTCGTGTCAGACCTCGTAGCTCTGTCCATCGCTAAGGGTAAACTGTCACTCAGATATGTGAATGTTAGACATTCAGTTACCTATTGGTAAAAGTAAAACAAATCCTATTGTCAAGTGTTGATAATCAGAAATCATGCCAATCAGAAAATGGCTGCTCTGATCTCAAGTACCATTACTATTACCTCTGATTGACTGAGACATCTTTAACTTCTCCTATAAACAAGCTGTACAGTTGATGGTTACTATGAAGACTTAGTTAGACTGTTGTAGGTTGCTATGACAACCTAGTTGTACTGTTGTATGTTGCTATGACATTCTGGTTGTACTGTTGTAGGTTGCTATGACATTCTGGTTGTACTGTTGTAGGTTGCTATGACATTCTGGTTGTACTGTTGTAGGTTGCTATGACATTCTGGTTGTACTGTTGTAGGTTGCTATGACATTCTGGTTGTACTGTTGTAGGTTGCTATGACATTCTGGTTGTACTGTTGTAGGTTGCTATGACATTCTGGTTGTACTGTTGTAGGTTGCTATGACATTCTGGTTGTACTGTTGTAGGTTGCTATGACATTCTGGTTGTACTGTTGTAGGTTGCTATGACATTCTGGTTGTACTGTTGTAGGTTGCTATGACATTCTGGTTGTACTGTTGTAGGTTGCTATGACTCCCGGATGAGAGTGTTGATTAAACATGTTGCCTGGCAACTGAGAGTAAGTTGGGACACTCTGGAGGAGATTGAGGCTTCCATGGCTGACTCTCTGGAATCAGCCAGCCATGAAGCGTATGAGATGTCAGAGTAAGTATTTCTTTCCTGTGAATGTCAGCAAATATTTTCTTGGTTAGTACAAGCTAAACAATAAAATTGTAAAATTTGTCGAAAAAACATGTATTTTCATGTCAAAAAGAGCATGTTTTGTTTGGTTTTGATTCAAGACTTCAGAAAAAAAATATGTAATGAACCATAAACTATCCATTTTTAACTCACCTGGCCCAAAGGGTCAAGAGAGCTTATGCATCCGTCCGGCGTCAATATTTTACTTTAAACAACTTCTTCTCAATAACCAAAAGGCCAAGGGTGATGATATTTGGCCAGTAGCATGCTGGGATGAAGGGCTACTAAGTTTGTTCAAATGAATGACCTTGACCATCTTTCAAGGTCACAGGGGTCAAATATCTTCAAAAAACTTCTTAATAACCATAAGACCCAGGGTATTGTTATAAGGCCTGTAGTATGCCGGGATGAAGGCTACCAAGTTTGTTCAAATGAATGACCTAGACCCACTTTCAAGGTCACAGGGGTCAAATTTCTTAAAATCTTCAAACAACTTCTTCTCAATAACCAAAGGCCCAGGGTACTGATATTGGGCCTGTAGCATGCTGGGATGAAGGGCTATAAAATTTGTTCAAATGAATGACCTTGACCATCTTTCAAGGTCACAGGGGTCAAATATCTTCAAAAAACTTCTTAATAACCATAAGGCCCAGGGTATTGTTATTAGGCCTGTAGTATGCCGGGATGAAGGCTACCAAGTTTGTTCAAATGAATGACCTAGACCCACTTTCAAGGTCACAGGGGTCAAATTTCTTAAAATCTTCAAACAACTTCTTCTCAATAACCAAAAGGCCAAGGGTAATGATATTGGGCCTGTAGCATGCTGGGATGAAGGGCTATACAATTTGTTCAAATGAATGACCTTGACCATCTTTCAAGGTCACAGGGGTCAAATATCTTCAAAAGACTTCTTAATAACCGTAAGGCCCAGGGTATTATTATTAGGCCTGTAGTATGCCGGGATGAAGGCTACCAAGTTTATTCAAATGAATGACCTTGACCAACTTTCAGGGTCACAGGGGTCAAATGTGTTAAAATCTTCAAACAACTTCTTCTCAATAACCAAAAGGCCAAGGGTAATGATATTGGGCCTGTAGCATGCTGGGATGAAGGACTGCCAAGTTTGTCAAAATGAATTACCTTGACTTATTTTCAAGGTCAAAGGGGTCAAATGTGTTCAAATCTACAAACAACTTCTTCTCAATAACCAAAAGGCCCAGGGCACTGATATTAGGCCTGTAGCATGCTGGGATGAAGGACTGCCAAGTTTGTCCAAATGAATGACCTTGACCCACTTTCAAGGTCTCAGGGGTCAAATTTCTTAAAATCTTCAAACAACTTCTTCTCAATAACGAAAAGGCCAAGGGTGATGATATTTGGCCATTAACATGCTGGGATGAAGGACTACCAAGTGAATGACCTTCGCCCATATTCAAGGTCACAGTGGTCAATATATATTTAAATCTTTAAATGATTTGTTCTGTATAACCAAAAGTTCAGGGTAATGATATTTTGCCAGAAACATGCTGGGTTTGTAGACTATAAACAGTCTACAAACTCTGTTCAACTTAAAGTCCTTGTTTGACATTCAAGGTCACAGGCATCATATGTTTAAATCTTTTAAAAGGTTCTTATGAATCAAACACTGATATTCTGCCTGTAGCTGTATTTTAGTCCACTTTTAAGATTACAAGGGTGAGATTAATACCGGGTGAACGATGCAGGCCCAATGGGCCTCTTGTTATCACATTGTTTTGTGTTTCAAGTTATCTATACCTACCAAGTGATAAAATAATTGAGATTATTTATTGTTAAAAGTGATTAGATAGAATACTGCTTATACTGCTGGTTATACTAGGAAGGATATGATTTTAACAAATTATGAAGTAGAAAACATAATTTATGGTCAAAAAATGGTCGCCTTGTGCAATGTGAGATGATAATATAAGGATATATGCTACTAGTACTGACACATATCTTTGTTACAAAAGAGTTCCATTATCTGTTATACATCTTTTGTATATGATAAATTGTTTGAAAATTAAACAATAGCACATACTTTGATAAAACTCAAGTAATTCTGCATTCAGACTATAGTAATTAAAGAGTGTGAAAGGGGGATCATTCTTACATAAATCACAGGTGTAATGAGCATGCATCCTTAATTCATAATTATATACTTGCTAATGCTTTCCCCTTGAACAGAGCGACGAGGTAACAATCTTACATGAATATCTTTGTTCATGCCTGCTGTTAGATCCCTTTTGTTTTTAGTGTAATGATATCATATGTTTTCTATAATTCCGTTCCAGGAATAGTTTTCACCCCCAAAAAAATGAAAAAAGTTGAGATTTAAGTTTGATTTGCTACTTGTATGTAAATTATTACTATTGTCATTTTTCTTTCCTTTTTGTATCCCTCCCACCTGACCCTGATTTAATATTTACCCGTTATAGGTTACTTGTGCTTTTGCCGCTGTTTGTTGTTCACCTTATAAATCATTTGATCCACACTTGTATCTTATTAATATTTTATAGACACTGTTAAGGTCTTACAATACAATGACATATTTCTTTTTTACAAGTCTCACAGTTCACTTGTTTTTTTATATGGTTGTGTGAATCATCTTAGGTTTATTCTTTATATTCATGAAAATAATTGAAATGGTATTTGTATGATAGTTGAAAATTTGTAATACAGGTGAAACCATTTTATAATAACATTGAAAATGTTTTTGATTCTCTGTTCGGAAATTCTGGACAAACCAGTTCAGGAAGTTACAAGACAGCATGTTGTGGATGTCTTTAAAACTTAAATACTGAAGAAGTAAAAATCCTGGATGAAATACTAGTTGTATTTGTTCATTTATCTGGTAAAAATGTACCGTGGTTTTTGTTATTGTCAGGAATTTGAATTGTTCATTTTATGTTAATAAATCGCCTACTGCTGGTATATATATTCAGTTGAATGTTACATTCTCAGACATCTCTAAATTTGATTTTCATTGCATGAATTTAGACAGTGGATTTTGCATTATTTGCGTAATATTTATGGAGCTAGTACATCTAGAAAGAAGTTAAGGGTTATCTTTATTAGTTTATAGCATTTCAATGGACAATTTATATAGCTCATGTGTCTAAAACATTTCCCCATTTCAGGACAATTGATTTTGACAAGTTCTGGTCATGTTTAAAGTTGTTTGCATGTTGGTTCAACTTACTACCCCGATTTTCATGCTATTCAAACGATGTGTATTTGATAGTCATTTTGAAAGAGACTGATTTTGTAAAAAGTGTTATGTAATCTGCAATAATAACAGAACATTTTGGAGGAGTTTTTGGTCAGATTTTTTTTTTTTTCATATCAGAAAAAGATAATTGCCTATGCTACACTTAATCATTAACACAATGCTTTTTCTAATTTGTATAATTCACAAAACATTCAATATGCTGTGTATAAGTAAGGATAATTTGGTTAGATATGTTTATGTATCAATCATTTAAAAAAAATCCATGTATGCTTTACTTTCATGATAAAGTCTCAGTCGTTATAGGAGGTTGAAAATTGCAAAAGTTTTTACTGCTGCTAACATTTCCCAGGTAAACAGTTAAAAGTGCAACAGTGTCTTTTTTCAGAATTTTCCCCCTTGTTATCATATCAGTATTGGCTGGTGACCTTTAGGTAATTGATGTGTCAAAACAAACAGTAAATAGGACTTCAAAAGTGTAGCAACGGAAACAAGATTGTCTAATTGTATCTTTTTATGTAAAACAGGGAAGAATTGAAAGAAAAACAGAGGAATTCAAGGAAGGAAAAGGCAAAAAGATTTGCTCTTATTGGTCTGGCTACAACAGTAGGAGGTACCTTGATTGGTAAGTATAGCTGTAGTATGTTTCTGAGTTAATATTTAAGCTAATCGGTATAGAAAACTTGTGAATACATAGTTTAACATTCCCTGATAATGCATCTCTGTGAGTATTTAATACATTAAGTATATAATGTATGGAATTATCTGTATAATGTGCATATTATGACTATCACATACATGTACCTGTGATTTTACCTGTATATTGTACCTATGTGTTTACCTGTATAATGTAACAGTGAGTTTACTTGTATAATGCACTTGTAAGATGACCGAAGTGTAAAATGTACCTGTATAATGTACCTTTGAGATTACCTGTATAATGTACCTGTCTGTTTACCTGTCTAATGTACCTGCATGTTTACCTGTATAATGTACCTTTGAGATTATCTGTATAATGGGACCGTATAATGTACCTGTCTGTTTAGCTGTATATACCTGTGAGATTACCTATATAATGTACCTGTCTGTTTACCTGTATAATGTACCTGCATGTTTACCTATATAATGTACCTTTGAGATTATCTGTATAATGGGACCATATAATGTACCTGTCTGTTTACCTGTATAATGTACCTGCATGTTTACCTATATAATGTACCTGCATGTTTACCTGTATAATGTACCTGTAAGTTTACCTGTATAATAAATGTTTACCTATATAATGTACCTGTTTGTTTACCTGTATGTACCTGCATGTTTACCTATATGATGTACCTATGTGTTAACCTGTATAATGTACCTATGTGTTTACCTGTATAATGTACCTGTTTGTTGACCTATATGATGTACATGTTTGTTTACCTGTATAATGTACCTATGTGTTTACCTGTATAAAGTACCTGTGAGATTACCTGTATTTTACTTATGAGTTTATCTTTATAATGTACCTATGTGTTTACCTGTATAATGTACCTGTTCTTTTACCTGTATAATGCACCTATGTGTTTACCTGTATAATGTACCTTTGAAATTACCTGTGTAGTGGCATTAAAATCAAACGTAGAAGATTTATTTGTGTATCATCAGGTTTAACAGGCGGGCTTGCTGCTCCTTTAGTTGCCGCTGGTGCCGGCGCTATTATTGGTGGAACCGGAGCGGCAGTGCTGGGTTCAACAGCAGGAGTGGCCATCATAGGCTCCTTGTTTGGTGTTGCAGGGGCTGGCCTCACAGGTAAGTTGGGAAAGCTAAATAACAATGTTTATCAGAGTAGCCTGTATCTATTGTTGTTTTCTGTTTATTTGTAGTATTTTGTCAATACTTGTTTTGCCACTCTGCGTTATTTTTTTTTACAGAGTTAACATCCACAAAACGTTAGACTTGTGTTTTATCAAATTATGATATAAGGCTTGGGTCTCAGTTTAATAGGGTAGTTCAAAGTCTGTCCAATCTAGATCAGTTGTTGTACCCCACTGTAATAGGGTAGTTCATAGCCTGTCCAATCTAGATCAGTTGTTGTACCCCAATTTTAATAGGGTAGTTCATAGTCTGTCCAATCTAAATCAGTTGTTGTACCCCACTTTAATAGGGTAGTTCATCGTCTGTCCAATCTAGATCAGTTGTTGTACCCCATTTTTAATAGGGTAGTTCTTAGTCTGTCCAATCTAGATCAGTCATTGTACACCACTTTAATAGGGTAGTTCATAGTCTGTCCAATCTAAATCAGTTGTTGTACCCCACTTTAATAGGGTAGTCCATAGTCTGTCTAATCTAGATCAGTCGTTGTACCCCACTGTAATAGGGTAGTTCATATTCTGTCCAATCTAGATCAGTTGTTGCACCCCACTGTAATAGAGTAGTTCATAGTCTGTCCAATCTAGATGAGTTGTTGTACCCCACTGTAATAGGGTAGTTCATATTCTGTCCAATCTAGATCAGTTGTTGCACCCCACTGTAATAGAGTAGTTCATAGTCTGTCCAATCTAGATGAGTTGTTGTACCCCACTGTAATAGAGTAGTTCATAGTCTGTCCAATCTAGATGAGTTGTTGTACCCCACTGTAATAGGGTAGTTCATGGTCTGTCCAATCTAGATCAGTTGTTGTACCCCAATTTTAATAGGATAGTTCATAGTCTGTCCAATCTAGATCAGTCGTTGGACCCCACTTTAATAGGGTAGTTCATAGTCTGTCTAATCTAGATCAGTTGTTGTACCCCACTGTAATAGGGTAGTTCATGGTCTGTCCAATCTAGATCAGCTGTTGTACCCCACTGTAATAGGGTAGTTCATAGTCTGTCAAATCTAGATCAGTTGTTGTACCCCACTGTAATAGGGTAGGTCATAGTCTGTCCAATCTAGATGAGTTGTTGTACCCCACTGTAATAGGGTAGTTCATGGTCTGTCCAATCTAGATCAGCTGTTGTACCCCACTGTAATAGGGTAGTTCATAGCCTGTCCAATCTAGATCAGTTGTTGTACCCCATTTTTAATAGGGTAGTTCATAGTCTGTCCAATCTAGATCAGTCGTTGTACCCCACTTTAATAGGGTAGTTCATAGTCTGTCTAATCTAGAGCAGTCGTTGTACCCGACTGTAATAGGGTAGTTCATAGCCTGTCCAATCTAGATCAGTTGTTGTTCCCCACTTTAATAGTGTAGTTCATAGTCTGTCCAATCTAGATCAGTCGTTGTACCCCACTGTAATAGGGTAGTTCATAGTCTGTCCAATCTAGATCAGTTGTAGTACCCCACTTTAACAGGGTAGTTCATAGTCTTGTCTAATCTAGATCAGTCGTTGTACCCCACTGTAATAGGGTAGTTCATAGTCTGTCTAATCTAGAGCAGTCGTTGTACCCGACTGTAATAGGGTAGTTCATAGTCTGTCCAATCGAGATCAGTTGTTGTACCCCACTTTAATAGGGTAGCTCATAGTCTGTCTAATCTAGATCAGTCGTTGTGCCCCACTGTAATAGGGTAGTTCATAGTCTGTCCAATCTAGATAAGTTGTTGTACCCCACTTTAATAGGGTAGTTCGTAGTCTGTCCAATCTAGATCAGTTGTTGTACACCACTTTAATAGGGTAGTTCATAGTCTGTCTAATATAGATCAGTCGTTGTACCCCACTGTAATAGGGCAGTTCATAGTCTGTCCAATCTAGATCAGTTGCTGTACCCCACTTTAATAGGGTAGTTCATAGTCTGTCCAATCTAGATGAGTTGTTGTACCCCACTGTAATAGGGTAGTTCATAGTCTGTCCAATCTAGATCAGTTGGTCACATCGGCGGCAAGTATTTTCTGTAGTGAACACAGCCAACTCTTACTACCCTTTATTAAAAATTAATAATTCTGTATATTGGCATTGCCTACTCTTAGTTTTGAAATTAGCAGATGTAGTCTGCTTTTTCTTCTTAAATAAGTGACCCCTTCACAGTTATAGTCTAGCTACTATAACTTATGAAGTAATCAGCAAATACAAGGGAAAACGAGGTCCAACATCACCTGTGGATGTTCAGTGAAGGTCTGCATACCCCAGTTGATGGATTCCTGAATGGAATTCACTATATAGTCCGGCCATAAGAGTGATAGAAATTCAAAGAAAGGAATCGTTCTCTGTAGTGACCAAACCCTTCTGCTATAATTTCAATCTCCAACATGGGTGTCTTACATGCTCTATTTGCTATAAATGTTTTTCTGTGATACTGTGAAATGTTTAACATTGTGATGAACTTACAGGATGTACCTTATTGATTGTGAAAAAATCATAAAAAATAAAAACCACTAAAATAGGCCTTTATGAAGTAACTTGCATGTTAAAGAGGTTAAAGCTTGCCTTGTGAATGGTGCTATGACTTCTTCACTCAGGGTACAAGATGAAGAAGCGAGTGGGTGCCGTAGAAGAGTTTGAGTTTGAGCCGCTGGTATTTGGTTCACGACTCAAGGTTGATCCTCACCCTGCCAAACAGCTACATATCACCCTAGCAGTGTCTGGCTGGCTGTCCACCTCCATGACTGGTATACTTTTTATACATTTTTTTCTCACTTATGTCTATCATGAATTGTTTGCAAGGATTTGAAATCTCGAAGTTAATAACAAAAGGTAAATTATTGTTCACTTTAATTATATCACTCCTGAGAAGTGAATGTGAAAGTACATATCTTGAGATATATGAGTGATGTACACTATCAAAAGAACTTGTCCAAATGAGAAGTTTTCAGCTATTGAACAGGTGACGCACAAGTATAATGGGACATATATTTACAGACTTTCGATATCCTTGGTATTCCCTGGCTGAGTCTAGGGAACAGTACAGCCTCCGCTGGGAATCTAAGTACCTGATCCAGCTCGGCCAGGCTCTTGACTACCTCCTCGGGGGTGCCATGTCTGTAGCCACACAGGAGGCCCTCAAATACACAGTACTCTCAGGTGAGAAAACACACGCCATCAGGAGGTTGGGGATTTAGAAGACTTGAATAAAAAAAAACTTAAGTGAAGAAATGTTTCACTCAATTTTAGGGAGTTGGGGAAGGGGCAAGCAGTAGCTAGGCTCTTATTTACATGGTACTGATAGGAAAAGAAATGTCTGTAAAAGGGCAGCAGACATCTTTAAATACAAGTATTGATGAAACAAGAAGTGTCTTACTCCTCTAGAGGAGATACAGGGGACTTGTATTAACACTGTGCTGTCAAGTGTGGAAAATCTACCTTCTACACGACTTGGAGATGGCCCTGAAATACACAGTAATAATTATAATCATGATAAGGTGAAGACAGCCTTCTGTGCAGGAAAGCATTTTGACACATACTGGTACCAGCTACAACACTAAAGATGATTTACTTTCACTTAAGGTATCTTGACTGCTATTGCCTGGCCAGCAACACTGTTATCTGTGTCTAGTGTGATAGACAATCCATGGAGTGTGTGTATACAGCGTGCAACATCAGTGGGACGGGAGCTCGCAGAGGTTTTACTGGCAAGGGAACAGGTATAGGATAGTAAAATAAGGAACTGATTCTAGTGAAATAAGGAACTGATTCTAGTAAAAAATAAGGAATTGGTTCTAGTAAAAAAAAAGGACCTGGTTCGAGTAATATAAGGAATTGGTTCTAGTAAAAAAAGGAACTGGTTCGAGTAATATAAGGAATTGGTTCTAGTAAAAAAAGGAACCGGTTCGTGTAATATAAGAAACTGGTTTTGGTAAAAAAAGGAACTGGTTCGAATAATATAAGAAATTGGTTCTGGTAAAATAAGGAACTGGTTCTGGCAAACTAAGGAACTGGTTCTAGAAAAATAAGGAACTGGTTCTAGTAAAATAAGGAACTGGTTCTGGCAAACTAAGGAACTGGTTCTAGAAAAATAAGGAACTGGTTCTAGTAAAATAAGGAACTGGTTCTAGTAAAATAAGGAACTGGTTCTAGTAAAATAAGGAACTGGTTCTAGTAGAATAAGGAACTGGTTCTGGCAAACTAAAGAACTGGTTCTAGTAAAAAAAGGAACTGGTTCTAGTAAAATAAGGAACTGGTTCTGGCAAACTAAGGAACTGATTCTAGTAAAATAAGGAACTGGTTCTAGAAAAATAAGGAACTGGTTCTAGTAACACAGTAAGAAACTGGTTTTAATGATGTGGGGAAATGATGTTGATTATAGCCACTTCTAGCTAGTAACAGTTTGCTAAATTTAGGTTTAATCATTGACCCCTGTTCCAGGTTACTTTATATTTCAATGTAACAGGATAATTTAGGAAAGCAGAAATGTCCACTATCCCTACTTTTTGTATTTGTAAGGGTCAGCGGCCGGTTACACTGATCGGGTTTAGTCTTGGTGCAAGAGTTGTCTTCTCTTGTCTTGAGGAACTCTCCAAAAGAAAGGGTAAGTTATTAAAATTACACAGCCTTTATGAGTTTTGTGCTATTTGTCATTAGAAGATACCAATCAAATGACATGATTATTATGCTTTAAAGATATGAGGATTACTCTTTAGAATCTTTAATATCATGACATAATATCAAAAAACCTTGTGCTCAATGCACATGTATTGTTCTTTATCACATACCTGTTGAATCTTGTTATACCATGAAATACAACGTTCTGTATTGCACATGTGCAATACGGAATGTTGTTTTTACCTACTTTTTATGGAAATCCCCTTGTGATGTAGAACTGAAAAGTTTCCGGTTTTTGCAAAAAATATCAAACTAGCAGTACTAGTATTAAGGTATGCTATACATATGCAAGACCACACACTTGTGTTTTTCTAACGAATCAGAAAGCACGAGTTAATTGCGCGGCCGTATATATTCACTCGGTGAATATATTTGTCCGCGCAATTAACTTGTGCTTTCTGATTCATTAGAAAAACACAAGTATGCATGTGGTCTTGCATATGTATAGCATACCTTAATACTAGTACTGCTTCACATGTTTCCACCATGACAGGGTTATACACACTTATCAGCACTGTGTATTCCTTTTAGCATTTGTTTCTAAAAATGTCAACATGTTAACTATGTACTGTCCAATGTATTCTAAACATATAATTAACAAGCTGTTTGACAGGACCACAAATTTAAAATAAAAGGGTGTTAAAATGTTTGATTTTAACCTAACAATAAATTGTTCAAATATTTCACTGAAAAAACATTTGTTAGCAATTTTTCTTGCAATTGACAAAATTAAACTCATACATTGTCAAATAATTTGTATAAATTTTCCTCATGTATGCGTGTAATGTCTTTTAATAGCCCTTGGTCATTATAAGGTCAAATAGGATACAGTTTGTATATGATGTTCAGTCAAACATTAAGATGCTAATTTGTAAACGACAGGTGGTGAAGGAATCATAGAAGATGCTGTTCTATTAGGTGCTCCCGTGTCAGGTGACCCTAAACTCTGGAGCTCTTTAACGCGAGTTGTTGGGGGGAAAATCATCAACGGGTATTGCAGGTAAAGAATGACGTCTGCACTATACAAATTGTATCTAGGACAGGGATTAATATAAGATACGCTTGACAGGGTCTTACAATAACTCATCAATATATAACATATTGTCATCAACAGAAAAGTTCCTATTTACCAATGTATCACAGTAAAATGCTGAAATATTTCCATGCAGCCCCAGTTGTGTGTGGGCCTATTGAGATTGCTTGGGCTCCCTCGTTTTGGCAGACTTGTGACTCCAGACAATTGTGTGTGGGCCTATTGAGGGTGCTTGGGCTCCCTCGTTTTGGCAGACATGTGACTCCAGACAATCGTGAGTGGGCCTATTGAGATTGCTTGGGCTCCCTCGTTTTGGCAGACTTGTGACTCCAGACAATTGTGTGTGGGCCTATTGCGGTTGCTTGGGCTCCCTCGTTTTGGCAGACATGTGACTCCAGACAATTGTGTGTGGGCCTATTGAGATTGCTTGGGCTGTCTCGTTTTGGCAGACATGTGACTCCAGACAATTGTGTGTGGGCCTATTGAGATTGCTTGGGCTCTCTAGTTTTGGCAGACATGTGACTCCAGACAATTGTGTGTGGGCCTATTGAGGTTGCTTGGGCTCCCTCGTTTTGGCAGACATGTGACTCCAGACAACTGGCAGACCTTCTGTTAGACCTGTCGTAGCTGTACATAGATACATGTAACATATAAAGAGGGGTCATTTAGAAGAATAAATATGATTTTTAACATTGATATCATTGTAAGCATTTTTATATAACAAACATAAAACCCTTCCACCACCTAAAGGTAGCGTCCATTTCTGTGTTCATAATCATGACTCCAACATCTTCATTTCTTAACAGAACTTCATCAAATATACGAAGGTCAAGTAGAAAAAAACCAGATTTTCATAAAAGTTTATACAAAGATGAAGTAAGAAAAAATAGTTTTCATCAAAGTGTTTATATAAATACCAAGAAGGAAAAAACAGATTTTCATCAAAGTTATTTCAAAGGTCAAATATGAGAATACCTTGTATGGGTTCTCATTTCAGGGTCCATAGGTCAATGCCAGGATGACTGTTGCTATTTATAGGTTAACCATTGCTATTTCGTTCTGCCAACTTCAGGGCCAAGAGGTCATCCCTATGGCTTGCAAAATTCTCCAGTTAATCAATTATTTTATGAAGTATTGGTCTATTAATTAACCTTTTTTTTTTATGGTCGATTAATTATTTTTTTGAAAATCAGTTAAATTTAAATTATCGTTTTGTCTTTGCATGATGAATTTTCCTTTGGAGTATCATTCTAATTTAAATAATCGTTTTATGTTGCATGGTTAATTAGAGGTGACTGGTTGTTGAAGTTCCTGTTCCGTACAGCGTCAGTGCATTTAACGACAGTTGCCGGGCTGAGTCCCATTAAGTGGGACAGCCGACGCATGCACAACATAGACCTCAGTGACGTGGTGAGTGGTCCAGCTAAAACCAATAGCGGTGAAGGAATTTGTTCATTTCTTCCTTGTACATTCTGATCTTTGTTAGCTTTAGTAATTACGCTGTTGTCAAACAAAACTGAAAAAAGACATTAGGGACTTCCCTGCGGTCTCTAACGACACAATTATAATGTCGCAAAGGTAATAGAATCAATTTAAGGTGAACCTACTTACTTTTACGGGTGCTGAAGTCAGTAAGAAATAACAACTTTTATTGAGTCTTACGTGAGCAGAAAATGTAACAATCTTTTAGGTAAGCCAAAACGTTCGTAAGAATATTTGATATTTTTTATCTCCCAGGTAAATGGCCATAAAGACTACTTGAAGCAGTTGGATGTCATTCTGAAAGTTGTTGGTGTTCGAACCAAAGGTGACGTAAAGTTGCCGTCCAAGTCTTCTAGAGAACCCCTATCTCGTGGTGATAGCTGTGATAGCTACACAAGTAGTGACAGCGAGGTGGATACCAGTTCTGATGTCATACGTCATACAAACCTCCCGGCAGACCAAGATCAGGTGTCTAGGGGTTTAGGAGGTGATGTAGACCAATCAGATATAAGCTTTGTGTTTTTGCCTAATGGAGAGGAATGTGAAGATCGTGGCATTGATTCTGAACCACCGAACCCATCTACCGAAGAGGAGACTGAACAGAGTAGTGATGGTTTCAGTGGACCTGAAAACCCTGACACGTCCAAACAGGTCCCGACTGATCAGTCAGATTTAAGCTTTGAGCCCATTGCTGAAAAACCAAAGTCACAACAAAGAAATCAAATCAAGGCTGGCATTGACTCCTCTGATTTGAGCTTCATCCCCATTGACGATGTTCACCAAGACGAAGGTCATAAGTCGGAGCAACAGATTCAGTGCAATTTTGAAAATTTGAAAATAAAGAAAAAGAAAGTTTTTGAAGAAAATTTGAAAATTAAGAAAGAAAGAGTTTGTGAAGATGATTCAAACACTCCTGAATGCACTACAGGGTCAGTCGACCAATCAGATTTTAGTTTTGTGAAAATTAGTGAAGACAGTTTGGAGGCAAATGGTGAGGAAAGTATTTCCATGGATTTGTCCAACAGAAGTTTTAAGCAGTATCTGGGAACAGTGATAGATTGTGATCTTGAGGGAGATTGATTAGCTGAGAGATTGGTTAGCTGAGAGATTTAGCTGAGAGATTGTTAGCTGAACTCATATCAGCCTTGACTCTGTGTAATGCCTTTTTTTTTTTTTTTTTCAAAGATAGAAAGGAGAGTGACATGTTTATACTAAATGTGAGTTAATGTCATGGCTTAAATGTCTGCTAGTAATTCTCCACAAATGACGGGAAAACTTTTCCAATCTCTACCGGTTTTCAACATTTTCGGAACCTCCCGCAAGAAGATACATTGAAATCTGAAAAACATGAACAAGTTTTACACTAGTCTATTGAAACCCCAGGGCTTTAAAACAAATCAAAAAATATTTTTTTATTAAATTATATTCTCTGGACATTAAGATCTTATTGAAAGCCCTGATATACTATATTTTCCTATAAGAATTTCATATCTTTATGATACTTTTGGAAAATGAACTTTTCTGTATCAAAATTAATATACAACAGAACGTTCATAGCCTTGATATGTCTGTCAAGTATTAAGGGGTACATTTATGTTATGTTTTACTGTAAACAATTATATAATGGTGTTACTTTCGTAATTATGAAAGTGATATATGAACATTATGCATGGGGTAATTTTTCTTGTACCGTTGGTGTTTTATTCACAGCTGGTACACTTAAAATGTTGAGAAAAATATTATTTGTGGGAGAAGTGTGGCATCACTTTGCACTGTAATTAATTGTAAATGTATAAACATAAATATTGTTTGTAAATCTTAATAGTGCAATATTACAGGGGCATATACATGTACATGTATTACCGGTATGAACATCTTTACTATCATATTTGATATACTAGTAATGATAATCCTGAGTGCTCATCAATTTTAGATAATTAGAATGGTTACAGTTCCTTCCAAAATTAATTCATTAAGTCATGGTAGACATATTTATATGTAGGTCAGTACCTTTTAGTGAAGGGACTCACCCAAGAAAAAATGAGGGGGTGCTAATAAGATCGTGACAGTGCCTGTAGGGCAATTTTTAGGATGAATACAATACAATTTTTCACAGATTTCAGTTCCTTATCAGACCTAAATATCACAGATTTGTATTCCAGCTTTGTTCTTGATCTTTTTTCTCCAGATTTTTAGGTCACCTGAGACAAAGTCTCAAGTGACCTATTGCGATCGCCTTTTGTCCGGCGTCATCCGTAAACAATTTTCGACTTCTTCTCCAAAACCACTGAACCAATTTCAATGAAATTTTGCAGAAACCTTCCATGGCCAAAGGTCAACAAAAACAGTTGCCGGTTTGGACCCCAGCCCCCAGGGGCCTGAGGAGCGGGGCCAAAAAGGGTCAAATTGACTAAAATTTCAAAAATCTTCTTCTCAAGACCCAGATATGGTAGAATCAAATACTCATCATAGATGGAAGGGTCTTAAGGTGCTTTACCAAATTGTGAATTTCTTGACCCTGGGGTCTCGCGTTTCCCCCTGGGGAGGGGGTAAACTTTACTATAGTTTATATAGGGAAATCACAGTTTGGACCAACATTTGTTTAATTTTCATTGGAAGTAATTCAATTTAGGTTAGCATTATCAGTATTGGGTAGCAGTTTGATGGTATGCACGTACATATGAGCCCTGACTGACCCCCCGGGGCTGATGGGTGGGGCCAAAAAGGGTTGAATTGACTGAAATTTCAAAAATCTTCTTCTCAAAGACCCAGATATGGTAGAATCAAACACTCTTCATAGATGGAAGGGTCTTAAGGTTTATGACCCTAGAGTCTCACGTTTACCCCCTTGGGAAGGAGGGGGGGGGGGCAAAATTTATTATGGTTTATATTAATGGTAAATGATACTTTGAATATTACGTGTTAATAACTTGATTGGAATTATATCCCTGAGTTTGATACTTTGAAAATTTTGAGCCAGCCCTACCCCCAAGGGCTGGAGGGTGGGGCCCAAAGGAGTCAGTGTGCTAAAATGTCTTCATTTTCCTTGTTTAGAATCAGAGGTGCTAGGTTCAAATACTTTTTAGTCTTAAATCTGTATGCTAGATATTGAATAAGATGGTTTTATTGTTTTTTGCCTTCATGTTAAAAACAAAATCAACTCTCTGTATAGATATATCAGGTGACCGTTAAGGCCCATAGGCCTCTTGTTAATTAATGCAAAAACATCTTTCTACTCTTTTATTTGCGACATTTGCTGGAAACATCTAGTCCCTGTAGTGTGCTCAGAATCATTTATCTAGTCATTATGTTGAATGAAGCATTTGATGTGTTCTCAATAAGTGCTTGAATGTATGCTGCATTTTCCAAAATTAATTCAGAATTGTAATTTTTTTATTTGTTGTTTCAACATTATGTAGATTTATGTTTGTAGCATGATAAGCTCCCAATTCTTCTTATAAAATATATTCAAACTAGAATACTGTATGAGAACTACATGTTGTTAAATTAAACATCATTAACTTAACTATAGTTTTGAACCACTGGGCTGAGTTTGTCTTAACTCTTTCCTTTGTGACATTTAGGCATCACATTTTTGAATATAGTTTTCATATGAAGCATCACCAATGTTTTACTTGTACAGTACCTTTATGGTTTCTGGGTATAAGAATGAAAATGTTGACCATGGTAAACTCTTGTCTATAAACCATATGGACGTGATATTTTTGTCCTCTACAAAGTATTTACTATAGAAAACATGCACCATTAGAACCAATTTAAGCCCTCATGACGTCTTTTTTATATGTCATACTGTAGTTAAATTGTAAATAAAGTTCTCACTTGATCTTGAAATCCAAAACATTGCCCTTGCTTTATAGAGTACTTGATCATGTGCAAAGTCAAAAGACATTTGTACCAAATATCAAAGAAGTCCAAAGTTTTTCTTCGAAATGTTCTTATAGTGTACATAAATAAACATAGAATAATCTAAAATTATTATCTGTATTTAACAGAATGAGTTTATTGTCAAGTATAGTCTAAGAGCTTCGGTACAAATTTGAATGTGCTGTGATTTAGAAACAATGTACAGTATTAATTGGTAATTGATTATAAATTGAGTATAAATGATTTGTGTGCATTAATTTTGTTATATAAGTTGTGTTATAATTGTGTGATAATGTAGCTTTATATATATTTTATACTGATGCAGATAGTATATAGTATTAGTGTTTTTAGTGGGACTGCAGAGTACATACTGTGATTTACTTTCTACTGTGTACAATCCTGACACGAGGGGGACCTCGAGGCGTAACCAAACATTGGGTGAATTAACAGGCGGGAGCCAGGATGTTGGGGGATATGTTCACACATAAAACCAACATGTGCAATGGGTTTCTATATAGGGTTTTCAGTATAAGTGGTCAAAGTATTAATGATTTGTAATGGTATGAATGTATGCTTTTCTTTTGTGATAATACAGCATTCCAAATTTAGTGTGGATCTAGAGCTACATTCTTTCTCATTTAAAAGAAAATTGATTTGTAATTTTTCAGAAGTGTCTAATTAAACTGATGTAAACAATTATGATTACTGGTAGTCATATTCCAGAAACATTCTTAGTATCAAAAACATGTTATTTACAATAATTATGCCTGTATTTGTTACATTTTTATCATTCATGTGGAGTCAATGAAAATTATGAATATTTCATCCGCAAGGGACACTGTAATAAGTGTATACAATTGTGTATTAGGAACTAGGTACTGGAGAAGGGGGTCGTAATACCAGATATTACCGTAGTATTCCCAATACTGCACCTCTAGCTCAGACAGTCTATTGTATGTAGGCATTGGGATAGATGGGCCCTGGTCTCAATTCTACAATCATGGGTAAACGTTTTTATATTCCCTATACCTACATTATGATTGACTCTTCTTCTCCCTAATCGTACTCTAAATTTTGGAAATACATTGACAGTAGACAATGCAAATGCAGGAGTTACTATATCAAGGTTTCTAGACAAAGCACACACAAACTAAGGCCTTGGCAAGAGCAGTAAAAAGTAAGGTATACTATAGTTAAACCTTCAATTTAACAAAGCAAGCAAGACTTTCATCGCAAGTTTGTGCAATAGTCCTTCTGTCTGTGAGTTGGTATCAGTTGTTACCTGTAAGGTCAGCACATTGACAGTCTAACCCTGTGTACATGTGGATGGAGACCATCATGTCATAATAGTAAAGTTTGTGGTTGGATACACACATTCAAAATGAAAGATCTTTTTGGAAACTGCATATACAGCATACAATTTATAGATGGGTGGAAGAAAGTACAGGTATAAATTTCTACTCCATTCATGTCTCAGTCATTAAAGTTTTTCCATTTTTTGACTCGTTGATAAGACTGACTTTGGTGACACAAAGACGTTAACTTTTAGAGATCTTTGAGATGTTATAACTAATGTTAATGTCGTATAACTGAAGTTTTGTATGCTGCAGTACTAAAGTATACAAGGAAACTTCATTCAGTCAAATATTCGCCTTTCACCGGTAAAATCTGTGTTCACCCAGTGGATATTTCACCCTTCACATGTTATTACTAAATAGGGTATGGTGTGTACTGTTGTTCGCTGTTGTGATAAATTCACCCTCATTGCAGAGGGCAAGATAGGCAAAAGTGACTAAAACATCCTGGATTGTGAACACTTTATACAATGTACTGCTTCATTTCCTACAGATGTTTTTCACATTTTCGTCGGCGATATAAATTAACAGTGTTGAATTTGTGGTTAACAGATTGTTACGTTTGTTTTTTTGAAAAGAAATAACTACTGATGTGTTAAAAAATTATTTCAAAAATTCTATCGCATCACCAGAATGTCTTTCACAATATTATAAATGATTCCTCTGTAGGTTTGGCTGTAGAAGAAAATGAAATGAAAATGGCATGTGATGATTATTTGTTGTAGATACATGTACTCAATAATTTTCACACCAACTATAAATTATTATTTGATAACATCAGATTCACAATGATAAATCTGGAATTGAACCAAGAGGGTGTCCATGAAAATGCCACATGGATAATATCACAAAGAAGTCCAGTATCCTAAAATCATATCCAAATTTTGACAGAAGCTACTTTTCAAAATCGTTTATAAGTGCATAACCATGAGTGAAAA